AGACGTTGAAGCGAAACAAAAATATAAAAAAGACCCACCGGGCACAGTATCCCGGTATATATATATATCTTATATCGTATATATGTATATGTATATCTTTTTTATATTTTTGTCAATGTTTGAGCATATTTTTAATCTTTACCTATTTTATCAGTATGACCCGTGACATGATTCATGAGCTACGATAGTGTCAATAATTTATGATTGAGTCATTGTTGTTGAATATTTTGTCGCTTAAAAGGCATATGGTTCAATCATTATTTTTTTCTTGGATCCAGTCATCATGTTTCGTTTCTTCATTACCTATCTGTAAATAAAAAAATAGTAATCTTAAAGCAGACTATTTCTATAGAATAGGATTAATTAATTAGCAAAGAAATAAACAAGGTATAGCAACGGTGGCAAACTGATTCTATTTATTAAAAGCAATAAAGCAGTAATGGAGTTGTATATAAAAGGCTGAACCGATTTTAATTATTTATTTATTATTTTAAATCACGTTACGTGTATTACGAGTACCTGAAGACAAATACAATTTATGGAAACATATTAAATTAAGCCATTAGCAACTACAAGGAACCTGAAATATTTACAATCATGCAGATCAATGCCAACCATTAGGCAAGAGATTCAAATTCAAACTCATTTATTCAGTCTAGGCTGTTACAAGTTCTTGTGAAAGTCAAACGCTACGCCATCGGTTCATAAATCTACGGCGGGAGACCTTGTACTGAGAAGAACCGGCAAGAAACTCAGCAAGGGCTATTTTTTTCTCCCTGTTTTGTTTCATACAGTGTCGTTGATGTCAACTTCCATCACATTAATATTATTAATTAACATAAGTATAGCTAGGTACTAAATTTAGAAGTGGCAATTAAACAATTTTCAACCAAATTCGCAAAGTAAAACGACTTAGTCTATTATATTAAGCCCAAGGTGACTTATTATTTACGAAATCTTTAACAGCATAGTAACCTTTCTGAAGGAGACATATTTTATACACACTTTAAACTTATTAAAAGGTAAATTAATTATTTCTTTTGGTATTTTATTATAGTAACAAACCCACAAATGATCCAAGACCTTTTGGAGTCTCAATGGTGGCAATTTGAGTTTATCTTTATTTCTGGTATTGAAATTATGTACATCGTAAATAAATTTATGTTCTGACACACAAACAATATACAATTGTAAATGTATTGAGAGGCAACAGTCATTATACCTATTTCTTTAAATTTATCCCTAAGAGAAGTTCGAGATCTTAAGCAATAAATAGCTCTTATAGCTCGTTTTTGAAGAATAAAAACTGTTTCAATGTCAGCGGCCGTGCCCCATAATAGAATGCCATACGACATAATGCTGTGAAAGTAGCTGAAGTATATTGTTCTAGCAGTGTCGACATCTGTAAGCCGTCTTATTTTAGGGTGCGGCCAGAGTGCACTCAGATTCAGATTCAGATTCTGAAAACAAGCGCGAGAAATAAACAGTGTAGTCTAAGCAGGTTGCCTGCTTTTTCTCGCGCTTTGTTTTCTGAATCTGAATCTGAATCAGGAGTGCACTCTGGCCGTACCCTTCGACTATACTGTTTATTTCTGGTGCTTGTTTTCGGAATCTGAATCTGAATCTGAGTGCACTCTGGCCGCACCCTTATAACTGGCATAAATAGCAGAACCAGTGTTGCCACCTTGGATTTTTTAAGGCGCCAAGTCAAAGGTAAATAATCGCCAGATTTCAAAAATTTGGATTTAATAAAAACACCAAAATCCGCTAAATTACAATTACATCTCTGATAACAAAAAATCCCTAATTCAAATAAAAAACCAGTGAATATGTATGAGATGCTACAGAAATAACTGTGAGTAACCACATAGAACATTATGAAATTTCGGAAAGTTAGGGCATTTCCCCCTTAAAAATATGTTGCTAGATTTCATATTAAAAAATTACTAAAAAAATTTACCCGCTAAATGATGAAAATATACCACTAGAAGCCGTGAAAAAGCACCAGTTCTGGTGGAAAAACCACCAAGGTGGCAACACTGAGCAGAACTAAGTTTACCGGTTAGTGTTGTAATGTGAGGGTTCCATTGAAGTTTGTGGTCTAGTGTTACGCCTAAGAAAACGGTTGTGTTACGCCTCAGAAAACGATTAACAGATACAAGAAAATACAAAAAAAGCGAGTTCTTTCTCATCCAAATGCTCTTGTTAAAACGTTGGTGCAAGAGAGAAGCAGCAACATCAAAACACTAAAAAAAAAATCTTGATGACTAAGATAGGTTGATGCGATTGCTTTGCTCCCCTCAAACGTCATTAACAACTAAACAAAATTACTTATAGTCTGGCGACTGACTGTAGTTAATTCAAATATTGGCTAAATGTGTGTCGTGTCACGCGCAGTTTAGGTTTCCGTAGTTGCCTGTAGTTACCACTATATATTTGAGCAGGAGTCTTTATTTTCTATCAGAAATAAGAAAAACCAATTAATATCAACCTATGTATCTCAACTAAAATACCTAAATCAAAGTCAAACTGCGTCACAAACTCAAAATTAATTCGATATTATTATTTTTTAAATACGAATGATAACCTCTGATTTGTTTTTTCCCCAGCGGGGAAACTGGTGTGAAATCTTTGTGGATACCCTACAAGCGTCGGACTCTTATTGGCTAAAAGCTTCATCTGAACAGGGGATGATGCGGTCTTTCCGCAGATCTTTGCAAGTGCTTATATACCTTAGATTAAAACGTAACGTTGGCGCGACTCAGATGCCTTTGCTATTGGTACTCGCAGTAGCGTTATGGAACTAATGATATCTAATTGTGTTTTTTTTTAAGATTTTGTTGCAATGCAAGATTTTGAGCTACAATAACTTTATCCATGTGACTGATGTCACTATTAATGTTTTCTTCGAAGGAATTTTTTATAGGAAAAATATTTCTTTAACCAAAATTGAACGACTATTACTCTTAAACTAACAAATCTATCTTAACCGTTATAGTTTTCCTTAAAAGTTCACGAAAAGCACTATTATCATGAGTTTTTCCAGATTTAGCCAAGCCAATAGTTTTGCGATGATGGTTGTTGCGGGCTCAACGAATGATAGACTGTCTGCGATTATAAGGCTCTTTTTTATTATTGCTCTACATGAGCTTCTATATGGGGCGAAGATGACAGTGTATATATATCGATATATAGTTACTACACACACCACACCTCCCTCGTAAATTAAGAAAAACGAAGTAGTTTTTTTCCTTTTACAGTTTTCATAAATACATAAGTTAGGTTGTTGACGAAAGTAATTTGATTTTATCCGTAATAATAACATTATAAAACATTTTACATCAAAGTATACATTTTAAAATCATATTAGTTCCATAAGTAAAAATAATTTAATTTTATGTTCAATTACATAATACAATATGTCGTCAATCAATTCATTATTACGATTCCTAGTTTTTTGTATTTATATTTGTCTACTTAGTTATACAATAATCATGTATAATTTATTTTATTACTTCTTAACTTATCATGATCATTATTATGCCTTACATTTAAATCATCATTTAGACTTTCATGTACTTCATTTATTACATAACATAGTATCAAAACTCCAAAAATCAAGAGGTTCATTTCTGGGATGTAGTATTGCATTGTTTAACAAAGTTCCCCAAGATCTGATTGAGCTTCCACTAACCAAATTTAAATCTCAGATTAAGAATACTCTTATGAATAAGGGCTATTATAAAGTTAATGATTATCTAAATGATCGAAATGCATGGACATAGAGTTTCTTGTAATTTGTTATTTGATGGGTATGAGTCAGTTTTTGAAACAGTAATATGGTTCCTATCTAATGCCGCTTCCTATATACTAAATATAAAATTTATTGTAACTATATATCTATATCCTTAATAATGTAATGGAAGGTGACTTCAGATGTATCTCTGAAATCATTTTTCAACTTGACGACTCTGTATATATCAATACAGGGAGAAAAAAGCAGCCCTTGCTGAGTTTCTTGCCGGTTCTTCTCAGTACAAGGTCTCCCGCCGTAGTTTTGCGAACCGATGGCGTAGCTTCTTGACCTACACAAGTGCTTGAATATGTAAGAGAGTATGTAAACATCGATATATAGTTACTACACACCCCACAGTTTAGCTGTATACATAATATACTCCACAAAATTACAACTCTCTAGTGCTCATAGTCTCCAAGAAAAACCGGTGACAGACCGCAGGACATGACGAAACTATAAGGGTTCCTTGTCAGGACTACGGAACCCTAAAAAATTATAGGTTGTATTGTAATAACAGGGTAATCATACATCTCTTCTTTATTAAACCATCACAAAGTAGGGTAATAAAAACTTTACTTATAAAAGAAGGGACAAAAAGTTTAACTTTTCTTGGCTTTCTGTTCTTTATGGAAGAATCTTATAATGGCTCTGTTCAGAATTTAATTTTAGTAAGTATTTACTGCACGCAAACAGTTAATATATATTAATTACCTCAGATCAAATAAAAAAGTGTCAAAGTGTGTGTGATCAAATCAAAATGCAAGATTGCATGAACATGCATGACCCCAATTCGTATTTCGTTTCTTTGCACGCCTGAACAAGCGTTTCGGATCACTATCCGAAACGCCGCCACGCCACTGCGTTTCGGCGCTTTGCAAGTCTGGGCACATTGCAATGAATATGGATATATGCAAGTTTTTACCAGTACCAGACGCTACATTTTTTTTAATATTATCTGCCTACATTGATGTGTGAGTGAAGCCAATATTTTAGTTCTCTCTTCACTATCGAAAACAGATTAATTTTCGAGGACACCATACTAAATTTGTAAACCCCCATTTTTTTGTCCCGCCAATATAGGACACCTTGGGGTCAACCTAGACCACTTTTGGAATCAATGTTTTTGAAAGCATCCAACCATTTATTTATTTAAGTGTTTTGAAACCGTTATTTCGTGGTTATTACAGCACTATGTGACAGTAGACTGACAGCAGCAAAGCGATAGCGATACGATGTCTGTGGATCTACATCTACAATCGACACACACTTTACTCTTTGGTTGTCTATCATAAAATAGCAAAGCTCCTCAGTTTTGTTAGTAAAATCAGAAATTGTTACGAGTTTTGTTTCAACAAAGTGAAATAGTTATCTTCTAAAGTAGCACTACCCGAGACGGCAATTTGTGTGTAGTAAAGTAAATTTTTGGATAATCAAAATTTTTGTGAATCATCGTACATCGAGCTTTCACACTTGATTTTCTTCATTGATAACTAGTGTTTGTAGTTTATATTCATTAGTAAGGTACCTAATACGAATAAATAATAACCAATTATATTTTGAAATAGTTTGTGTGGTTCATTGTTCTAATAACTAAAGCCGAATGTTGGTGACAAGGAATACTTGAATCGATATTGGGTATTTGGGTTATTTACTAGTTACTGTGAAATGAGAGTGCACAATTTGTGACGAACCTTCCTCCTGATGGGTAATAACTGCTGATAGGACGCTACTCTCAATAAAGAAAACTAAATAAACAAAGGTAAGTAGTGGTGATTTAACTTGCTAAATTTTATTAACTTGCTTAATTTCTATCATTATAAAATCACAGTAGATAATATCATTTAAATTAACTTCTTTGTCACACTCTGGTCTATATCAGGTAACAGGCATCTGAGTATAAATTATTTCATCTAGTTTTGTAATGAGTAATAAAAACATCCTGCAAATTAAGTATATTAAAAGAAAAAAAACTGCATTATTCCAGCAGTTTTTATAAATTAGTAGTTATAGATCATATTAACTTACTACTGACTTGATTTCTTTCATAAATGAAAGCAAAGCTTGAGGTAAGATGTTTTATAGGGAAAATAGATCTTGTGGTATTTTTATTTTCCCATTTGATGCCATATTTTCTTGTATGTATAGTAATATTTCTTCGGTTATGATAAAAAATGAATGAAAATAATTATAAAAGTATTTTGTTCTATCTTTGATCTAAATTTAATTTATTTTAAATGGAACATCATAGACCTAAAAATTATTACAAGTTGATGTAGGTTGGCTATATTTCTCCTTGTTATATTTTGCCATTTAAATGAAGTTATTATTATGAATTAAGCTTTATTCAGTTTACTATATGTATTGAAATACTGGAAATTATATATAATTTATGTTAATATACTGGAAATTAAAAAAAAATGTTACAATAAATACAGTAATAGTGTGAGAGGGTAAATTATGCAATTCACAGTAAGCTTGGGATAATATTTTTACATAATTTTAGGGGTATGTTGTTGAAATATACAAAGGAATTAAATTAACAGCAGATCCAGATGTGATTAATTTTGATTAGATTGAATTTTAAAGCAAAATATATTACTTAATTCCTCCCTAGACACTTTTAATGTTCATATTTTAACAGAAAAGAATTATCATTTGTTTATTTTTCTTTTGTGTTAACCAAAAATATTTGCTGCAGTTACAATGGGGCGGTTCACTGGAAAGAAGTGTCGATTATTATCGATGCTGTGGCTCACAGGCGGGTTCTTTTTTGTGGAACTCATTGTGGGCTACATCACCAACTCTATGGCTCTTGTTGCGGATTCTTTTCATATGTTAAGTGATGTAGCTGCTCTTGTCATCGCCTTTCTATCAGTTAAAGTAAGTGTTATACACATAAATATCTCACTTAATTACCAGATTATGAATGGCTTTTTGAAGCTAGTTTAGTTTAATTACCAACAATGTGTAACTACAGCTAAGTTTTGATTTTTCCTAATTTCGGTTAACAAAAAGTCACTTAAAAATGTTGTTTTGTTTGCTAATTCCTTAGTTTAATGTAATAATTGTATTATTATAATTTTTTTATGTCTAGTTATACATGACAATCTCATGTTGATTGTTGAATGAATTACATATTTTGTAATAATTATATTATTTACTATAAATTTTAATCTTAGTGAACACATACTTATAACCTTACCTAATATGGTTTTACCTATGATCTCACAAATAAAGTATGTGGCTTATTCATGGAATAGCAAGAATAAATCAGTCTGAGTCACCATGTTGCATGGTTTCCCATTTTGTCAATTGAATTCATATATCAATATCTAATTGATAGAACAGAAGTAAGCACATTATTATGTGAGTTCATCAACTTTTGAAATGGTCTGTATATATATATGGTCTGTATATGCATAGGATGCATGACCAAAAATATGCAATTTTAAGCTCCGTCATCCTTCAGAAGGCACATTTACTCATTGGTCCTGATGATCTCAGAAATCCTAGTTAGCAAGCAATCGCTAGATAGCCTAGCATTGCAAAAACTTTTTCAAGACAAATATCCTTATTTTATGGAAGTACTGGTAAAATAAAAAATTTCGTAAAAAGGTTTTTCTATGACTCACAGCAAATTAACCAAATTTAATTGGTTAATAAGTGTCAGTGGAGTGTTGGCGGCAGAAAACTGTTCCACTTCAGTCATTCCCATCTTGCAAACTTTTTTTGGTAGGCTTTTAGCCAATCCCAACCTTATGGAACCTTTTCTGTGAATTCCATATACCATAACAATATTATTTGTAATGGTTTTTAAAATTATGATCTCTCGTTGTATCTACCTGGATTTTAAACATCCCAAGAGCTAGTTTACATTTATTGGTAATCTACCTGTGCAAAATTGCACCCAAAGCCATACAACCATTTTGGAATATTGATTTATTAAATAAGCATACAATGCTGAGCTGCAAAGCTGTTATAAACAATAATGAGACATCTTTTCCATAAAAAAATCTTCCAGATTCATTAACATTATCCAATTTTTTAATTTAATATAATTCAACAGATGTCACCAAAGAAATGGTCAAAGAATACATTTGGGTGGGCCCGTGCTGAAGTATTGGGCGCTCTAGTGAATGCTGTGTTTCTCGTAGCTTTATGCTTCAGTATCACAGTGGAAGCGGTGAAGAGGTTCATTGAAATCGAAATGATACATGACGCAAGACTACTAGTGGCTGTTGGTACATTAGGATTAATTTTGAACATTGTAGGCTTGTTTTTATTCCATGGTAAGATGTATTTGCGTTTGTTACAATAATACTAAGCTCCTACTGTTTAGAAATAACCCTGTTAAATTCGCTTGGGCCCCATTGTACTGTGTGTCCACAAAGGAATGTAAACAATGATTGTTATTATGAAAAGCGTTCCAACATTGCCCACAAATATATTGGCTAAGTGTTTTGATAACATTTGCCACAATTATCATATGCTTGTATGTGCATGAGTTACAGATAGGATCTCAACACCATAGAAACTATTCTAATAAATATTTGATGAGCTGTATTTGAAATAGTTATTTGTGATCCAATAAAAACTCACTATATCAGTGTCGGGAGAATTTAATGTGAGTTTTTATATTATAATAGGCGATGCACAGCAACGTCTTCTTATAGAATTTTGTGAGAAATATTGGATAATTAGGGTGCACGTTTATTTTCTTGTACACGTAAATTAAGCCATTAGTTCCCGGCTGCAATTGTAGCATAATACACACCAAACGCCGTCCCTCTTGGAAGACTGTTTGTTTGTTCCTATATCCTTACGCGATTCTATGTCATTAGAAGTCACTTTTAAGATGACATTAGCTATAAAGCTCATTAAAACTACATTGTTCTGAATTCGAAATAGTATGCTGGCTCATTTGAACTCTTTTGTGTAGAACACGGCAGCAGTCATGGGCATTCCCACGGAGGCGTGCCACCGCCAGCAAACGTTCGACATCTCACAGAGATTGTGAATAGCAACGCTGACATGGCACTAGGTCACAACGCGACGGACACAGAGGAGACTGACGAGATGGTACCGCCCAACTCGGGCAAGATGCCAAACAACAACAAGCAGACGCCGTGCCGCGCGACTACGGACCCTGGACACATGAATATGAAGGGAGTGTTCCTTCATGTCCTATCTGATGCTTTAGGTGAGTTTTTTAAAGTTTTTCTTCAATAATTATGATTTACAATTGAGTTACAGGCGCACTCAGAAATGTGAAACAAGTTTGTGTCTAGTGATTCGCCCCGTTTTTGCACGGGTTATTTTTTTTAACACAATATAATATAATCTATCTTACTCAGGGATAATAAGTACAATCTGTCTATAAAGTCACGAAAAAAAGGACGTCGCCACCGTTGCCTACTTGGTATCCCCGTTGTACATCAAAAAAACCCTTTGATATTTGTTAAAAAGTAATTTGTTAAACTGTATAATATATGATAATTATATGACTTCCATACATTTCATTATTATCCGAGTTTCTATCTTATCTTAATATTTTTTTCTGATCCCGCGCGATACTTGTTCAAATTAAAAAATTCTACTAAATTTTTTTAGTTAAAAATTTCTTTAGATTTATAAATCGAACAGATTTATGCTTAAAAATAAAAATATAATAAAATTATCAAAATTTGTCATGCTCGACTTTCGAGTGCCGGATTAGTAGACATTCAAGCAAGCCACTTATGACCGGTCTTTTATTCAAACATTTACTGTAGGTGGGGAAAAAAAAGAAATATAATTATTATAGTGAATATATTATTATTATTATTCAGAGCCCAAATAATATGATTATAATGTATATTCCTGCGCCATCAAATTGCTGGCTGCTGCCTGCCTCATAGGATTCGCTGGAACTGGAATCATCGTCATCTGCACAGAGAACTTCAAGCAAAATTTCCCTTTTCAAATTTACACAGATTTTTCATTCTTGTCAAATTATTGACAAATTATACTCGCGTTTTGCTGCAATGTTTGAACATTTTTCGTTCATGGCCACCATCAAAATTTATATTTTCTCGTATAAAAATTGCCTTTTTGCCGAACCAATAGTACATAATATATGCTATTTAATATCTCCAATATTAATATTTCGTCCACTATGTGTCGAATTGTACTTTTGGAAACATCAAGCAAAGACAATCTGATAAAAACCATGTTCACATTTAAATAATAGTACTAAAGATAGGTATATTGTTTTAAACTTTCATGGTTACTAACATTATAGCTATTAACGGGATTTTTACCATGTACATATAAAGTAATATCGGAAACTCATATAATAGTACAAATGTATCAAATCTGTAGGGTGTAGTATAATAAGTTGTTAGTGAAATTTATAACCTTAATACAAAGCAAACAATGCATAAAATCAGATGTAATTCTGGATGAAAACAGAAATGATGGTCACGGGAGTAGAATTCATTTATTTTTCAATGTTTACTGGCCGGCTGGCTTTGCTGTTTGACCTTTAACGTCGTCAAATTCGTACAACGACCTTCCCTCTTGACGGCGACGGCGTTTGGTCTTTAAGTTCTGAAAAACTAAAAATATGACAAGCCTCGCACCACTTGTATAGACAGTCCGATTATTTTTTTGTCTCGTAACGGTAAAATTTAAAAATAGCTCATAATCTTCATTCTCATTATAAACATAATCTTAAAGTAATAACTGTGTAGTAGTGTAGCTACACTATTTGACAGTAATTTAGTGTTGCCAGTGCCAGCAAAACCATTAGTTCCTCAAACATCCTAGGCCTCATCATCGCTATCCATCAGGCGAGATTGTGGTCAAACGCCTTGCCTATTAAGCGTTAAAAATCATTATTTTCATGACTTATTGACATACATGTATATAATTTGACAAGTTTTAAAAAATATTCAATACGATATTCAATTCGATATTCATTATATAGGTATAGTGACTCCATAAGAAGTGGATATTAATTTAATTTTATTGTGTAGTTATCGTAGTAAAGAAACCAAAATAAAATTTCCTTCCTTTATGACGCAGAAACGTTTCTTTAGCCAATATGGCGTCTTACAGGCATTTGACGTCACACGGCTGCCATTAAAACGTCAAACTGCGATGAGTGGCAGTGCGACGGCATGTTTGCAAGCAGGTGACGTCATTTTAGGCTCCGCCAATCCTTAACGTTTTCGGACAATACAAATAAATATAATTTTCTATTTCACGATTTTAGTAATATTACTTCTAATAATACTACTTTATTTGGTCAGAATAGTGAAATCACTCAATATTCATGCCAAATACACATGCTAATAATTGGTACTTTAATTTTCATACTGGCAAATAGGCTAACTAATTTTTGTAGCATTCTGATGGTGAAAGAATTTTTGAAATTGGTCTAGTAGTTTTTGAGTTTATTTGTTACAAAGATAAATTGTATTTTACAAATCTTTCTTATATTAATATTGTTTCTTTCTTTTCGATGAAATTAGAATATAGTGAACACATTAAAGTGATATTAAATTTATTTGAAGTCTCTAAGTACGGCCATAAGGCTATTTCTTTAAACATTGTAATTAACAAGTGCCTTAGATAAGTTTCTTGATAATAACTGTAATTTACAAGTGACTCGAGTGAGTTACTTTATATGTAATTATGATTCAACATAACATGAATGAGTCCACAATAATATAAACTGTAATGGATGAATGAATGACTTAACTGTCTTTTTTAATTGTAATTTACAAAATTGCCATTTTTTTTACACACACCAATTAGCCTAGTCGCAAAGTAAGCACTGTAAGGCTTGTGTTATGGGATTCTAGGGTAACGGATGGAATACATATACTGTACAAATATAAGTATATTTATATAGAACTACATATTAAACATCCATGACTGGAGTACTAATGCTCGTATTCATCACACAAACATCTGCCCCCACCGGGATTCGAACCCGGGACCTCTCGAGTCGGCGACACCATGAAACCCGGCGTACAAACCACTCGGCCAAGGAGGTCGTCATTGCTATCATTGTTACGAAATGTTCGTTATTGAGGTCATTCCCTAATGAATGAAAGTAATTCTAAGGAAATGGTTTTGACACACATACGTGAACTTAAAGCCTGTCTTTTGATTAGTTGTCTTATCGATTTGGTAGCCAGATAAGGGAGTTCGGCGTCGACAATAACGAAATTTGCATGTCACAAACAGGTGCTTCCGTTTTCATCTTTTGTCTTAAAATCGCATGACTGAAAATAAACACAAAGATTATATTGCGTTCTAAAGTAACACAAAGGCATTTACGCAATCTAATTTTAGTGAATCCAGTATTCGTTGTCTAGACTTGGATCTTTTAACAACAGTATAGCAACCGTTTTGTGATCTTAATGTCTCCTTTTGAAAATTATTCAATTATTAAATTCAACCTCCAAAGCCTCCAATCTATCTCCAATCCCTAACTACTCGTGATTGTTATATTGATACCATACAAAATAGAGTATTTATGAAAAACAACTAACTGTTATATGTTGTACTAAAATATCAAGTAAGATGGATTTGCCAATATCTTGCGATGACTATATTGTATCATGTACGATGATAAGGGCAGGTTTTCCATAGAAAAAGCGGCTATCTTAGCCAGCCACCGGAATATATGCTGTCTGGTAGCTGGAAATATGCACAACCTATCGTTTGTAGCCTAAACTTAGGTGTAACAACTTACATCTTTGTCAAATGAGTCATCCTCATCGGAAACGAGTTGAATATCTAAACACCAATTGATCGTAAAGGGGAAATACTAATTTCGAGCGTATAAACTCGACCTTCACACGATGGCAGGAACTATTGATAAATATTGACAATATATTTGAAATAACTCTGAAATTAAGGAAAGCCGAAATTGGGACTAAATTTGCTTTTAACCGTATTCTCGGAGGTGCTAAACATATTACCTCGACAGAATACGTATTGTATATGATAATAGGAAGTACGATTCATATTGCGACCTATATTATTATCCTCATAGTACTTAAACATTAGATTACTTTTATAATATGTGTAGGGACTTGTTAATATATTTTAACGCAATTTACATGACTTAGCATAAGCACCTACTACTTTACGTACTTCTTAACAATTGACTTATATAATACAATAATAATTATGTTATCGTGTTGGATAAATTGTTATTGCATTATCCAAAAAAGCACTACTAGGGCCAAATGACTTAGATTTTTATAAAACATTTTCCGTGTAAATGTATTTGTTTAAAACGTCCCTTTTGGTATTATAGGTATTCAATAGCCGTTGATCAATTTGCTCTTGAAAAAATATTGTTTTCAGAATAATTATGAAACTTCTGGGAATGTAAACAGCCCTTTTCTGCTTTCTGATATTCTTAGTAGATAGCTCCAAATCTAATCACCGTAAATGGACTCCGCTAATTCGCGAAACTTTCTACACAATAAAGAGCCCGAAAAGACATACTCTATAACCTACTTAAAAGTTTAAATCCTTCGGTGTGTTCAAATAGGTGTGTTTCGTGGTTTGATTAATTACGACGTATTATTTACCTCGACATTGAGTTTTACTTTCATCACGGAAATTGTTGATTTCGCCGAAACCGTGACTGATTCACGAGAAATGTTCATTGTTCCATTGGCTTTTAGCGATGGTCATCACAGTGTATTGTGGGATGCGACTCGGGACTAATCAAGTATATTTCCATAATTTTGTATAATCCTAGGAGAGAAATGAATTTATAAAATCGATTAGGGAAAATAACTGCTTGATTTTACCATTCCTGGGACTCGAATCTACATAATTATATCCGAGTCAAATTGAAGAAAAATTGGGTTCTCTGTTGTGTCATTTCAGCTGTGTATGGTTTCTTCGGATTTCCATAAACCACCTACAACCATCATCTTGCTTTGCAATCAGAGATATAACTATGATGTAGTCTCTATCTTCTTCAATATTTTTTTGTTCAAACGGCAATATTAAAATTTATTGATTGTGGCATAAACACTCTCTCCAAACACTATCCTCGTCCATTCACACTTGCTATAGTAAAGAATACCAGCATTAGCAACTAAGCAGTGCGGCCTTTAGTTGTCCTTTCAAACATTCAACTTGCTCTTTACGTCGTCGTGTTACGAATAGATTGGACGCATTCTTAATGGTCGATCCCCTTGACATTGTTACTATATACACTCTTACAATTTCCCATGTTTTTTCAATGAAGAAGGTAATCTTCATGTAACTAATACGCTATACTTTAGAGAGGAGGCGTGAATGTATTGACGACAACAAACAATTGAAAAGCTATTGAAAATTATTGAATTGTCTTTCTCATTCGACGATATTTCTTATTGTTATTTCAGGTTTCGTTGTTAATTTGTTTGTATTGAATATTAGTTATACATTGTCAATCGGACATTGCCTAATTGAGGCCAGCAGTTAAATAGTTGAGTAATAATTGAATACTGCTACATTTTATCATTATTATTTACGCACTACGTATTATAGGTAGATAGGTTCATTAATTAACCGTGTCGCAGTGTCCAAAACTAACTATTGGTTAAATTCTAGTGGCCTCTGCTAATATAATCGACAGTCAACATACTAAACAGTATTGACATGATCTATTCCTATTGCTAACACGATATCAACTTAGCGATGCAAATTAACTAGGATATGTATGATGTCGATTTAATTTTAATTACAGCTTAGCTTTTGTTTCTGTTTTTCTTCTAGCGTTCAGTTAATTTTCTCCTTTGCCGAACGCATTAACAATGACGATGTATCATCGGTGATACAGGTATTTTAAATTGTTTATTATTTCTTTTGTTGATATTCGTGGTTCAGTCTCATGGTGTAATTAGCATTTTTGATGCTCTGCCAACTCTGCGAGGTAAATCGCGTGACTTGAATGTGTGTATGTGAAATAAAGTGGTCAAAAACGACATTTAATTTGACTTTAATATACATTTATCAATTATTATTGTTGGGTGCTTCAAATAAAATGCGTTTATTTATGAATAATTCTCATCTCTCGTCCATGCGGAAAGCAGCGCCTACTGAAAGACTTTTTTCCATTTACTGCAACACTTACCTTGCATACCAATTAAACGATTCTTTGAATTTTAATCTCCATACTATTTAAGATATCTTATTATATTCACCCTCAGCCAATGTATGGGAGCATATAATCCGTTTCCAATACTAATTTTGTAACTGTCACTCAATTCCAAAAGACAAAGTCAATAATACGAAAACAAACAAAAAACGGTAGGTTACGGGTTCTTTTTTATGCTCGTGAAATAAATACAATTGTTATGTATTGTCTTTACGCATGTACCTATACAGATCTTGTTACGAGTATACAAAACGGTTTAAATAATATCTGTATTATTGTATAAATACATTTGTATCTGTGAAATAAGTAAACAGTTTATACACGTGGTCGCAGCCAGTGAAACGCGAGGGCGTACGCCGAACGTTATCTACCGCGAATAAAATAGGTAGGTAGAGCATTTCAGAAATATGCCAACTAACTAAAAATATTTACACAACAATATTATTACTGTGATTCCTGTCTATTGCCGCTGGTTTTTTTTTATATGTATTAAACTAAGTATAAGGATTACATACTACCGGCCGGCGTTGTGTCATTGACATTATTTTGTAAACGACAAACATGCGATGCATAGTGGCCTTGTACTAGTTTTTTTTCTTTTCTTGATTTTTTTATCATACATTAAATGATCAGTTATCGAAAAATATAGATATATCATGTGCAAGGTTAATAGCAGGAGTGCCAATAATATCAATGCGTATGTTGTGCGGTGATAGTGAATAATTGGGTCAAGTGCAAATAAATACCTTTGCTACCTGATTAGGTGTTTATGTTGTAAGGTGAATGCCACGTTAATTTATATTTTAATGCGTACCAGAAAACTATGAATGAACAATCCTTTTAAATTATATACATACTTACTTCGAAAGTGTTTAGAAATCAAAATAAACAAACGCACGCCCGTAATTGATTATCATGTACTTGAAGAGAGTTGAATTTTATTCTATTAATAATTTCTTTTGATCGAGCTTTGGTGTCATTTCGCAGCTAATGATGACCTCTGAGATAAACATTAATGTTCCGAGATCTATCTTTGAGTGAACTTATGATATGTGAATAAATTCTATAGATCTAGTAAATTCTATTGCTGAAACAACGAGGCCTAGCTCATATAAAGTCATGCTCGTGAACGACTGCAGCATGTAAAGATGATTCTGCTCGTACTATTTAATTATTTACCCTTTATAATCTCAGTATCAAAAAATATGAGATATTTGTATAATGAAATTCAAAAGAGTAATCTTTCTATTAGTAAATTATCCTCCTATTAGTGTGTTATATTGAACGCAAATTACATCTGCTAACGTCTGTACTGGTAATCGTCAGCTCGGCCGTGGACTATAGTGCAGTTTTAAAATAAACAAATGAAGCTCAACAAAACCAATATATTTATTTGACCAGTTCACATCAAGAACAAATATGCACAAGAGTCAAGTTAAAGAGCCGCAAGGAGGCTTGTTATAACGTCTTCTAAACAGTAAATTAGTCTCTCGATAACAACACTACGTACGAAGGCGTATATTATATAAAAGATCGAGATATTGAGAAGGGATGTTACGTAAAATCTCCAGTAGCTCCAATTCAAAAGAATGACGATTTGGACGTCACCAAAACTTATGGCCGTTTGTTGATTTTTTTTCTACCCTAGACGTTCGTCCCCACATAGAGGGCTCAGGTATATTGAGAGTACTTCACAAGGTTTGAGAAAATCCAGAAGTCCCCGCTTTGGCTCCTCAAATATAACGATTCATCTAACACAGGAGTTCTCTTCCAGGTTCACTGATCGTGGTGGGCTCAGCCTTAGTCGTGTGGCTGACGGACTGGGAGTACAAATACTACATCGATCCCGCGCTCAGTATAGTGCTGGTGATCTTGATCCTCGCGTCGGTGTGGCCCTTGCTCAGGGAGTCGTCGCTCATATTGCTGCAGACAGTGCCTACGCATATTCAGGTGAGAAATTTCTAGGTTTACTATTATCGTTTCAATTTACCTGTCTTAGTGTGTTCAATAAATGTGCATAATATGGTTCTCGAATGCTCGGTTTGCGATGGTAAAAAATTGAAAAACTTTTGCATGGACCATTCCGCAGTTTCAGAAGGCCCATAAATTTTTTGGTCCTAACGGCATCTGTAGTCGTAAGCACCCACCAATCGGCAATAGGCGTGAAGGTTCACGGTCCGTTTCGTCCGTGTTGTCCATGTCCGGTCCTTATTCTGTTTATAGCAAAGAGGACAAGACATTAATAGACTGATACTAAAAGATGTTGAAGTCTACCGACTACAGAGAAGTAGATATAACTGGAGCAAACTTCAATATTTTATAAAATCACGTGTTTTATTATTATTGTGATGTTTAACAAGCACAATCACAACGTTTGTTCGATAAACCGCACAAAGCTGGTCACTGAACATGTTTACTCAGGTGGAAGAGAAACACGCTGGAGCGGGGAAAGTTGATACACAAATAAACCACTATTTTACCACCTCGGGGGCAATTGGAAACCGTCATTCTTAATCTGCTGCTGTGTTTGTTCAGCTTTTAGTTTTCCATGATAATTTTGATATGTCTCATGCATAATCGTCGAGAATGCATATAAAAGTGTAAAATAAATAATACTTTTGAATATCACAGCACAAGGACGCTAATCCTTAAGCATTAGTTTAAAAAACATAACTTGACGTGTTTTTTTGTCCGCAAAGTAAAACAAAGGTTGGAAATTGCTACTGTATCAAGAGTCTGCCATATAACTAAATTGATGTGAGCTTCATGTTAATGTTAACATTTGAAACCCATGCATTATTTTATAGGTATTTGTCGTAGGTGCCACCTAACGAGCTCGGTTAGTAAGTTATGACGGTTAAATTTTAGGTGAACCATAAGCAACTTTTCAGTTCCAAATAGAGTTCAAAATCCTTTTGTATATTTGAGACTGGGTCTCATCAGATTAACTATTAAAGAATTGTATATGTTGCAATAATTTAAACGAATAAATACAATATAATTTATAGTTATATATGTTGAGAGTTTGTTGTCGTTACTATTTATTATTTACAGAGACATGTTATTTAATGTGTGAACACATTATATAAATTATTTATTAACTTGTGAGCCTTGAGACTTCTTTAATAAATTAGATAGCAAATAAATCCGTTATCGTTAATATGTTTCGGAATAGGGAAGATGCATATATAATATTTATGAAAATTTTATGATTAAAATGTTAAAAAAATATAAAAGAAATGCCACTGCAACGTTTTTATTTTACATAATTTTGTTTTTTAACAATTATTACGAATTAAAAATACTTGAAACGGAACGTATTTTAAAACACCAATCAGCGTTTAGTGACGTCACTCCTGTAATGACAACTTCTTTGAGGTTATGGTTGTTAAAGTAAATATTACTTTATGGGAAAATTTATTGCGTTTTTTTACATTTAATAAAAATGGAAGTTGCGTTTATCAAAGCAGCCTCCAGGAATTTACCAAGAGTTAGCGTTGACATGGTTATAACTTTTTTGTCCAAAGTGCAGAGTTTTTAAGTGTAGAAATGAAACGGACTATATTACTACGGTATGTAAAAATCGTAGTTTATTCGTATTTTATTCAGCGGCTTCTACAAATCTTACGGCGATAATGCAATCGGCTATGTCCAAATTAAAAGAGATGGAAAATTATGTACAGTAAAAGGTCGAGTTCTCCGGAGCATAAACTACGTAAAGAAGGTTATCGTGTTACAGTTATTTTAAATGAAACGCAAAGCTTGGTTCAGTCCTGCCAATGTGAAGATTGTGCCACACATTTTAAACTTTATCTAATTTTCGACGTCATTCTCTAACTGTAAAATTAAAAAAATATGTTATAGACAGGTTTTGTAAGTATTAGGTAGGTTACTAATGCGTTTTTACGTACAAGCAGATTAATTAAGCATATAACAAGTATATTCGCCAACTTACGTCAAAGTGATCTTCTCAGCATCGAATAATGGTGTTTGGAGAATAATTGTCATTTCTCTTCGCAGCTTGAAACCACTTTTTTTCAGTTTTGGGTCAGAAGTTCCAGTCAAAAACAATTTATTTGGGAACTTTGTTGAAGTAGATTGGCACAAAACATGAGTCAACACGGCTTTTTTTCGGAATATTAGTGGTATTGTTATGATCACATGATGTTGATGGATAGTTCATTTTAAATTTTTCAAAAAAATATTTCGAAAGTCGAAAAAATATGCAAAAGTATGAAAATTTAAACCCAGCAACGAACAATTACGACCAGTGACAGACAGGAGTGACGTCATCGCAACCATAGGTTCGTTTTAGCGCGAAAATTTAAATTGTCAATTTAAAACCGCACTTTTTCCGATAAATCACAATGTTTTAATTTTTTAATATATCTGTGGTTTATTCTACATGGAATTCTTTAAAATGAAAACAAAAATAAAAATATTGCATCTTCCCTATTGCCGCATTTCTGCATAACGCAGATAAATAATAATAATAATGAATTCCGGACAACTAGCACATTTATTGGGTCACAAATCAAACAGAGGTTGTTCTATGAATACGGAATAACGTATAGTATTATATATAGACGTACAGAAACAATTCAATTCTGAAAATGCTTAAGCATAGATAAACAATGTTGACTCGGAACAAAGTGCTGCCGTACTATAATAATTCTTATTTGATCGGTATTCTAGTAGTATGTAGACAACGATATTAAATACCCTCGATACACCACGTTATCTCAAATTGTGTCCCAATCAAGAAGTGCTTCAACACCACTCAAGCACTTCTTGGTTCACAATGACGCGCGGACCGTTGAAAAGTTAAAATGCCGCAGATATCCGTGAAAAAATGCGAAATAAATATTTACAGTACGTAAAGTATCCTGTTTTCGACAGGTATTATATCAATGTTTGTTAATTTAACGCATTTAAAGCAAATTTTGTTGTAATACTTACTATAAACGGATTTAATAGAAAATAATTGTTATATTCAAATGCATGGTTGGTAACATAGCCGTTTCTGTTCCTCGCGATCCGTACCTGCTCTATTTCTAACAGAGCATTTAGAATTGCTCGTAGGTCTATTTTCTTCCGCATATAGGTAAAATTTTACGAGCTTGCATTTCGAACTGTCATAACTCTTTGAGGCATGCGTTTTAATTAAGACCTTATATAGTATACATTAAAGGTAAAGGTTCATATAATACCTTATATTGATTATGACTACGCGATCATCTTACGGAGCTCCGTGGATCGATACCTTTTGGACAGGTTTAGGCTTCGATTTTGTTCTTGTTGTTGTATGTAAGGTATTTAATATCGTTGTATGTAGATCTCAAGTTCTAACATTTAATATCTGTATATAAAAGGCAACCGTTACTTAGGTACTGATTGATCTACCAACGCACAGCTCAAACTTCTGAACGGATTGCGCTGAAATTTAGCACACGTATATATATAGTTATGTTATGTTGCATGATGTTGTATGATGTAGCGTGCACTAAAAAGTATTTTTAAAGCTCACCCCCTAAAGCGGTAGAAAGGGGTTTAGTTTGTACAGAAAACCAATTTTTCCACGCAGACAAAGTCCCACTTGTTTTTTTTATGTAAGTCCTGATGTTAAGTGGTTAAGTCCAGACATTCTCCACGTTTTCTGTGGCCACGGGTTGTATAAGGGATGGACACGTGCGCGGGTTAAGCATTCCGTTTGCGGATAGCGCGACCAAGAACCAAATCTCTTTGGCTTTGGAATGGTGTTGAAAGTAAATCGGTAGGTGGGTAATGTATCATGAACTCTCGATTGTTCAGGTGGACGCGATCCAGCGAAGGTTATTGGAGAAAGTGGACGGAGTGCTGGCTGTGCACGAGTTCCACGTATGGCAGTTGGCCGGCGACAGAATCATCGCCAGCGCACATATTAGGTGAGTAACCTTCACACTATTACTGCGAAATAAAATCTAATATCTTCATCATTAGCCTAAACATACCCCCATTACTGAGGCACAGGCTTTCCCTACTGATGGAATAGGGAGATTGAACTATGATCCACCCCAGCCCATTGTGTTGGTGGGTGCTAACGGCTGCAGATGCTGCCGGGACCAACAGGTTAACATGCCTTCTGAAACACGGCGGAGCTAAAGCTAGCAAAGTTTTGGTCACCCATCTTAGAACCGGCCATTGCGAAAGTTGCTTAACTTCTGCGATCGCAAATCAAACGTATTAACTTAAATGTTAACTCAAAAAATAATTAGATTCCGTAAATACAAAATGTAACAATTAAATGCTTAAGTAATTTTGCCACTCCAAGGTGTAACATGCTATGAGCTATGTATTAATATTTGCTTCTCAACTATTAAAACAAAATTAGTTTTTAACTCATAAACTCCACCGGTTACACGAAAACAAGAGGTCATTGTTATTCAGTCAACGCTAATAAATATGTGTTGAAAAAGAAAATTACCACTCGATGTTTTAAATAATAATAGAAGCAATCACCAGTGTCATAAAGTTTAATTTTACAATTACATAGACATTTAGGTATTTCTAATTTTCCACGCGAAATTATGTAAATGATACATTCAATTAGAATAACATAATATATACATTTAAACGCTATTTGGCCACAATCGTGCTACTTGTAACTCTTTTACTATGTTAAGTAAGTATTAAGTCCATAGGAGTAGATTTATTTTTTTAGTTTGAGCTGTCATTTCAATAGTGCTAGGTGAGCTAGCATAATATATTGTGTAAAAATTTATATTAATTATGCTATATTTAACGCAAATTAAACTGCAGTTCTTAACTTAAGTTTAATCTTTCATTTCATTTGCGTTGCTTTATTGATATTTGTATCTTGAATGTAAACAGTATGTCCTAACGCATGTGTTTACCTAAATTGAGCTGAATCACCGTCCTTGGTAGAACTTATTTTTGCAAAACAATTTTTCCTATAAAATAAATATAAGAAGAGATGAAATTTCAGTTAAAAATTGTGAGTACCAAAGTTGTGACACAAAGAGAATTTGTTTTTGAAACACACAAAAGACTACATGGTTATAAAGTTCTACTCAATAAGGAAACGTAACAGGAAAACGTAACGCTAGTTTTCGCAAAATAACGAAATGCTATTTATATTATTGCTGACATTAGAGCGCTTTACTCAAAGTTGAGCTTTTTCTCAGTTTTTCAATCCAATCTCTTATCTATTAGACAAGTCCATCCGTCCGTCTGTTTGTGGTGCTGTTTCAGCGGCCAAACCGTAAGAGATAGATAAAGAGAATATTTAAGTTAAGAATAGTCTGATAAGATTACAAACCGGATTTGAATAACTTCCGGTTTTCGAGAAATCACGAATTTCAAACGAAACCACACAAAATCTCCGAAGTTCTCAATTAATTAAATACATTTTTTTTAAATCAGGTTTTGGTGAACATTTGGTTCACTGGTCTGCTAGTATTTTATCATAGCGCCTTGAAGGCGTTAAGAAATTTTAACGGAAACAAGTACAGACAAGAACGATAAAAAAAAACGAGTGTGTTTATGACCACATAACTGAAGTGAAAATTCTTTAGCTCCATCTGTATGTATATATATTTATGTGTGTGTACAATATACATTTATATATATGTATGTACATATACATATTTCATTTACTAGCTATAAGAGAAAGAGTGAAAGAAAATGTGCGCGCGCACTGCTTTGTCTTGCTTTTACCCCCCACTCAACGCCCGTTCGCCTCGCCCGAACACATTTTTCGTAACGCGTAACGCATTTGCCAGCTTATCCCCAAGTCAAGCGTTCATAAAGAAGTTTCACTTCAAAAAGTAAACATTGCGGGTTACCTACAATGCTAAGAGATGCGCTGCCTTGCAGCCTAGGAAATATTAAAAAGTATTCGACACGGCCATTAGGGCCGCGTTTAGCATAATGGTCAGTGCATCCACCCAGATAGCAGAGGGTTTGGGTTCAAGTCCCGTCAGCTAATTGGTCCGAGTGGAATATTTTCTAGTAAAAAAAATCTTTATATTAAAACTTCTAGAAGTTAAATGTTTAAAAAATATTAATTAAAAGTAAACATTTACAACCATATTTTAAAATGTGAACAATACACTAAAATATATAAACTTAATGTACTTATCAGTTTATTTGCAAGTAGTTTTTCACGATGAGTTACGATAGGACAACACAAAATATCTAGTTCTGCCACTTATACCATATTCCAGGAAATCATAACGTTATTGTTATCATCACTTGTTACTGATACTAGAGTAGAGCCCCACAAAGTATATGAATAAGCCTATGAACAACTATCCTATGAATAACTATAGATATTAACTTGTGCTAATTACACGAATGAATTCTTCTAATTTATTAGAATATTAAAAATTAGAATCCTATCATAGAACTCTAAATTAGAATGTTTTATCAGTGGGTCAAATAACTTTAGTTACGGTACGAAAGTCGGCACCAATAAAAACTTAAGAAAGTATATTTGAAAACATATAAATATACTGGTTGCTGAAATTTCAGCCCTCCAACCTTCTCTACCCCTAGCACGAACCATTATCGAGTTCGTATCGTTTGCGAGTCCGAAATGTCATTGTCAAATGTGTACTGATTTTTAGTTCTCGTTACGTACTTTGCTGTTCAAGTTTCCATACAAAATTTGACATTGACATTTCGGTTTGCAAACTATTCGAATTCGATAATGGTTCGTGCTAGGGGTACTGATCTTGAAAGGTGAGGCCTAAGTTCTTACGTCCGCTAGAGGTTTAGTTAGAAACTTAGTTTTCATAAAAACTTTGAAGATGCGATACGATTACGGAGCTTGCAAAATTCGTGCTTGGACTCTGGGTTCGTATCCCGATACAGGCATTTATTTGAAGATTTGTTACTGGGTAATGTACGTACGTTTTTTGGTTTGCGGTCGTGCGTTGTTAGTGAGTTGTCCGGAATTTTTGTGCGTTTAAAGCTACTGTCACTCGACTCAGAATGGATCGATCTTAAGCAGAAAGCTACCAGCGAACATTTTTGAAGCTAGCAAAAATGAGTTCTGTGTTAAAGTATGATTATGAAAGCAGAAAGCCACCATTGGTCAGTTTTGGCATCAAACAGAAGCAAACATAAACCTGGGTTACTAGAGAACATTTTCTCTTGCTTCAAAATTGCCTACTGATCGCTTTCTGCTTAAAACGCTCTGAAATATCACGATTTTTCTATAATCTTTTTATAACGGCGCGCAATAAAATCTTTTAAAATATTTAAGTTTGGACTAGGTTAGGTCCGCTAACTGATAGAATTATTATTTTTTACTTATATACTCATCAAACAATAGGGGTGATGACGGGGTACAGTAAATGAAATTCTATTTAGTCCGTCAGTTAGATGATCAAAAAATAATGGACACGTATTTTTTCTTTGGGCAATCAATCAAAAAATGACAAAGTTATAGCTCGTCAAAGTTTGGGAGTAGGGGCTCGTGACGTCACTTTTGAGTGAATTCTCACTTATAAGTGTACTCAAACGTGACGTCATGCGACTTTTCAAATCAATATATCTCTGCAATATTATGTGATAAAAGAAAAAATACGTGTCCAATACTTTTTGATAATCTACCGGATAAACAAAGAAAAAAAAATTAGTCATCATCCCTATTCTAAGCAACATGTACATATTTTAAACACAATCGAAATGTTTCATTTTTTAAATCAACCTATATTTTCGAGAACACCAAAGATTATATACCTTTACTTTGCTAAGATAAAAAATTAACAGCAATTAATAAAACATACAGTTTCTGTAAATGATGCGTGTTGCTTAGACATTTTCGATGTGTGTAAATAGTTCTGTCTCATGGTAATGCCGTTTTAAAGGATATTATGGCTAAGCGTAGTTCTCAAGTCCAATAATAAAATAACATTTATCATTCTTAGTACTTTAATAATTAACTAGTTTTATGTGAATGACACGGTGTGAACATAAAACATTCATTATAATTTCAATAGGGTCGTTTGTCACAACTTTGACTAATCGACTTTATTACCCGCCCTATTTAAATATGAAGGCTGCACTATGGTCCTTAATGATGTTTTACACTTAAGTTAAAATTGTAGTAGTAATATGACTAGATTGATCCAGCGCCAACTATTGAGTAGCATTTCAGTAGCGTCCCCATGTATTATGCCTTAGTCCATCTGCTTAGGTACTATTGAGTTCATATTTAACGATAAGGTTCGAATAAGGATTGGTGCACATAATGTATTAAGTAGGTACTGTAACGCCCGTTGCCTCACGGCCTCTGTGCTTGTGTAAATTCTTTGCTCATGTAATGCCTACGGCTGGCAGTTATATTAAAAAAGATTTGAAATTGGGAATCTTTTGTCTTTTATCGAAGATTCCAGCAGATAGAATTCAGACACAGACTCGAACGGTTGATAGGAATATTATTGTACATCATTTCTCTGAGTTTATATAAAAAAACGAAAAAATCTCGAGTATAATCATTCGTAGTTTTGTACGCTGCGTCCCCTGGGCTTCCCTTCAGGTTAAGCCCTACAGTAGCTATTTTGGATAGAAAACGGTTCAGCACCTCCTCAACTTGAGGCTGTTTAGTATGCTGTTTGAAAGTATCTGCGGCATCGCACACCAATCAGCGCTTGCACTCTTACCCCTCGTTTACACCAAGGTATAATAAATAAAATGAATAAAAATAAATATTTCCAACACTCACACCAATTTGCCTAGCCCCAAAGTAAGCACTATAAGGCTTGTGTTATGGCATACTCAAGCCTTTACAGTGCTTACTTTGGGGCTAGGCTAATTGGTGTGAGTGTTGGAAATATTTATTGTTATTATTATTATTATTATACTAGGGTAACGGATGGAATACATATACTTTACATGTATAAGTATATTTATATAG